CAAGTGAAAACGTTTTTAGCTGTCTTGGTTCTGTCTGCCATACAATAGCAAGTCAAACCTCTTCAGATGATCTAGTTTTGTTTTGTATGAGCCCATATGGTACAAATCAAAACTATTCAGCTGCCTTCTTTCTAGCTTATAGCAGCCTATACAATGTGATAAAATAAAGTTCAAACTGTCCAAAAGGTATTGTATCAGTAATCCTTTTTTTTTATTCCAGTTTTAACTTGAATCTCAATTTGTTTGGGTATATTGCCAATGACTATTCCCGAAATATTATTATAAAAGAGAAATATACCTCACCTAGCCAAGCTTTAGCTGAAATCAAATAAACTGTCTTTTTGTAATGTATGTTAAAGACCACAGATATAAAACATATACACATATGTACAAGTGTGTGAATTGCTTACAAGGCAAATGTAACATAACAATAGCCCACCTTTAATGAAATTTATTAACTTATTATTTTTTTCTTTCATTTTTCTGTAGATGTATTTATTCTTCATCCACATTTACGAGGACATACGTATAACAATGTTTAACGATGAAGTTGATGAAACATGATCTATTTTAGAGTGATAGATATGAAATTTTACAATAAGACAGATAGACTTTCGAAAACTTAGTTAGGTTAAGTTATTTTTAGTAAACCGTCATAAGATAATCATGATAAATTCATTTAGGATTCAGAATCAGTCTGAAAATGGCAGCTTAAATATACAAAAAGAACTATCCCTTGTTTTGAAAAGAAATGTTCTCTAAAAATCACAGAGGACAAAAAAAAAAGTACATAAACAATAATTTAATCACGGTTGGACATTCACATTGAAATGTCTAATGAGATACCTTGAACAAGCGATTAAACACTAGTCAAACCTCTTCAGCTGCTCTAGTTCTGTCTTTTATCAGCCCATACAATGCAAGTGAAAACGTTTTTAGCTGTCTTGGTTCTGTCTGCCATACAATGTAAGTCAAAGCTCTTCAGAAAAGACACCAGGGAAATTTTAAAATCTTTAAAAAAGTATTTTATTAAAAAATACAGCTCAAGATTAAAATATATTTTGAAACTTATGGTGGTCCATATAAAATATAAGATACCTACAATATTGTACATTATATTTTTTACACCTTCATGCATAAAAAATATGGTGAATTGCCTGAGTAAATCAATTAAATGGAGATTAATCCTCATTATGAATCTTACAAAAAGTAAAATAGTATCTTGCAAAAAATGTGTCCAAGAAAAAAAATAAACAAAAAAAGCAGAAAAAATGGTAATTAATTGGAAATTCTCATCTCACTGTAAAGTCTATTTCCAACATAAACACTGCTTCTAAATCAGAATAGGCTTCCCATACAAGTTAGTGATATAAAATACATACATATAGAAATTTCTAATCTGTGATGGTGGATTTCAAAGAGGAAACATATAGATACATACATTTTCAGTTACTGTGGAGTAATACTGTAATATTATGATATAAAAGAAAAGCTAATTTTGTCTCAGCAGACTATTTAAAAAAATATGGAGATATTAACTATATAGACATAGCTGATGATCTATGTGTATTCAAGATACAATGCTACGGCAACCACCTATAGTTTTTTATTATTATCTGGAGAGTAAAAATCATTTTATCCTAAGTTTATTGTCATGTTTTAGGTTTTCTGCTAAGAAAGTAACTACGTTATAAGTTATCAAAAGGAATTTTAACTTAGTCTATACAAACTTAAACAAGTACAGTTAAACCTTGCACAAATTAAATATTAAAATTTATTTAAAATATATTTATGTATTTAAAAGAAAGAGAGGTCCACTTTGAGAATGTCACAAAGTATAAAAATAACCTTGTATTTCTTAAAGTTTTTAATAGTAATAACAGTTTAGACCATTAGATCTTTTGTCAGAGTACAAACGACATTCTTCTAAAGCCTATTCAAATATCAAAATAATATATCAAAAAAAAGGTGAAACAATGGCATTTGTTACTTTCGCGACACTCAGTCATGTATGTGTAAATTCAGAAAAGTGTATTAGATCAGAAGTGCATTTTAAAATAACACTGTGATTATAAATCACAACAGTACAGATTTATACATACAATATCCAGTATTACAAATGAAAATTTACTAGAAAACAAACCGACTTACACTGTGAATTAACTTAGTTATGCAAATGTTAAAAAAATTCAAACTAATTATTAAAAACTAACAGCACTTACATGTTTATTATCCTTAAAATATATCACTCCACATTTAATGAAATAGTGTCAGTACTAACTTATATTTACATCATTTTAAAAGAAACAAATAAATAAATGATGCACAATAAACAATACATATTCACTAGCAAATATTCAACGATAATTCTTTAATAATTATAAGGTCTCCATATTAGCAAGTATATGAAATCTGCAGGAAAACAAATAATTATTATGCATTTGCTAGCAGCTAAAACTTGTACTAATGGAGAAATGAAAAGTAGTTATTGAAAACTTTATTTGGTAAAACCAAAAGAGGCAAAGATTTTTGGATCTAAATTATATAACAGTTTTAGGACTTGTTGCATTGTTTTTCATTATTGTTTCACATGCTTCTTGAGAGGCATAAAATATGAAAGCATGAAAGATATACTTCATTTCAACAACATATTTATCTTATTATGAACTTGTTTGAATTTTCTTAAACTATGGTACTCTCAAGCCTAATTTCCTGAATTGAAAGAACACCTTGCTTTTGGTTTGCTGTTTTTCCAAAACATCAAATATTATTTTAAATCAATCAACTGCTTAGTAATTTCTAAACTACCAAGTATGCAATGAATAACAAAGATGGTCTAAATTTTCAAAAAATAAAAGTGTAGTAGAAATTATTTTAATCCGTACAAGGTATAATTGCTCATTAATTTTTTCTTGTAAACCAAGCTCTGTTGTCATGTCTCAGTACTATTCAAAAGAGTACATACTGGGGTTTACTTTTAAAAATCTGTTAATTAGACACACTATTTTCATCATTTATTTGTACCATACGTCTTCTCAACATTAAGCCATTTGCTCACCAGCCCTCAAGCGGGAGAAGACAGTGTGTTTGAGAAGAATGTACAAAACTGAAAAATAAATTACAATCAATAGTAAGTGTATACTACTACAGTAATCTTTACACAAAATGTGTTACTTTATTACACAGTAGAACTGCTGCTATGTAGAAAGTACCCTAATTTTTAACACTAATCAAAACTTTCAAATACCATAAACATGTACATGTGTACACATATTTTTATATACAAACAACATGAAATACTTAAACCAAAACATTTGCAACTAAATCTTTATCTAAAAACTCTTTTAATGTGCAAGTTCAAAGCAAATTATTTTAATAAAAACCTATGTATAAAACTTCTATTAATGCTACGATTAGGTGTGCCATATCATTAAATGACATGCTAGTCAGTTACAAACTAACATGTTTAATATTATAAATAGTATTTCAATCATAATATTTCTCATCAAAACCTGAACTAATATCATAAGACACAAGTTACGTGTATTTTATCAATAAAAGATATAGTAAAATCAAACTTAACTTAATTTTCAGCTGAAAATTGGGTATTTAGAGGACAAACCTAAGATGTACTAAAACCTAAAAAAGGCACAATTATCACTTAGATAGTGATATCCCAGAAACACTTTTATTATAGGATAATAACCCCAAAATATGATGTTTTAATAATAAAATATTATAAACCTTACCATGCACTTCATATTTTGCTACAATTCCAAAAGTTGCATAAACAGCTGACTTATTTCAGAACACAGTTTATTAAAACTGAACCATCAATACAAAATGATTAAAAGCAATTAATCAGGATATGTAATAAAATAAAAGTATTTTCCAAAAATGGAATGCTGGTAAGGAATAGGTTACTTCTGTGTACCTCTAGATTGAAAGTTTAAACTTAGTTCATTCTTACCTCCTGATATATCTCCCACCTGAGAATTTTTTCATTAAAAGAATCTTCATTCTTACATTGAAATTCTACTGGTAAACAAAGAAGAGACAGAATGTTTAAACTAGGCATTCATCTAGATAAGGTTCCTCAAGGCATACCTTTCATGTTTGTATAATAAAATGGTCTTCTCAGTTGTTTTGCAATCATTAAAATGTTCTAAAAAGCATTTTTCTGGAACTTCAGCTGTTTTGATGTACATTTACAATACTAATGAGCCAAAAACAACATAAAGTCAATACAGTTCAGAAACTGAAGTTTGTTCTGGTTAAGGAATGTATCATACTATGTTGTTAAACAAATATCCACACAAACATACATACCTATGATGCTACAACCATGAATACGACATGAAATGTTTACTCAGTAATAATCTACTATTACTGGCCTTGAGATGCTACATTAATCTGCAACAAATGAGATCGGAGACTACATTTAGAAGTAACACCAGCAGAACATCTCCAAGTTAAGCCTTCTAGGTTATCATTAGTATTCTCTTGTGCTGCTGCTTCAGGTATGAATATGCAATCCTGTGCAACTTTTTCAATTACTTGAGACTCTGTCGGATGAGATTCTGAATGAGAGGACAAGTCTTTACAAGAATTCACCACGGCAGTCATGGTATGAGAAGTGGTTCCTTTTTTCTGAAGGAGTGACTCCTACAATATAATCACAAACTAATTCAGGATACTAACCACACAAATACTTCAATATTATTTCTTGGCCAACTTGCATATATTCTTTAGTGCATGTCGTACAACTATTTTCTTGATAAAACATTCTAATAAAATAGGTAACTATACAAGTTTCTGAGTCTAAACTACAGGCCAGATTATCTAACTACACCTTTGAAACTTGAGCATTTCACAATTTAGGACAGTCTTTGAGATCACTAGACTCAAGTGCCTGTATTTATACCCAAGTTATACTTGAGCTTATTTACCTCAATGTACAATTCATGAGGTGTTTAGATATAAATCTTTAGTTGTTTATGTCTACCTACCTCTACCATTATGGGATATTAGAACTTTATAGGTAGCAAGTCTTAAAACATAAAAGTATCTAAATTTTCTTAAGCAAATGTAATTTGGCTTGCTCATTCTTACTTTAGAATAGTGTTAACATTATGTCTGACAATTTTATACTTGTGATAAGTTCCAAAGGAATACACATTTTTTGGTGAAAATAGTTTTGTTCCAGATAATATGAAAGTTGATAACTCGATAACCTTGCAAAGTCACTATAAGTGCAACAAATATATACTGTAAAGTTTTACACCTCATTAACTCCAAGATTCCTTGTTGTGTATAAATTCCCGTAAAAAGTCACCTACCTTAACAGATGCACAAGATTTATCTCTGTGGTTTTTAGCTTTATAATGAGCTCTGGCTATGGCTAAAGTTGCCTGGTGAACTTTACAATATATTTTATCTCCTTCCACTGTATGAAAAATAAACATTCCTTCCCCTGTGCAGCAGTGCCTGAAAAGCAAGACACCATTACACACAAAAAACTAAACAATGTTCTTTATTTACAAACACACATGTAGATTTGAATGTTTTTTGATGGAAGATCATTCTGTCAGTCCAATTCTTTTAATGAACTAATTTTACTTTTGTTACTTTTGCTTTCATAGATTTTTAAATATTAATTTTAGCATTACTTTTAACAGATGATTCAAAATTTCAGAAATAAAAGGGGCCATTATATGGGAATGGTTTAATAATGAACATAAGCAAACTAATAACTATACAACGTTAAAATCAATACACAATTAAAATCATATCAAAATGATAAAGATGATTAGAATTAATGGATAAATTTGGAATTTATAAAACTGAATGTGAAAGTATCTATATTGGACAAACAAAACGTAATTTAAATTATCGTATAGCCGAACATAAGAGATGTTTAAAAAAAGAAAAAAAAAACAGAAAATCTGGCTATAACAGAACATGTAAGTAAAACACAAAATAACATATTATGGAAAAAAACAATTGTGTTAGCTCAACCTAAAGGTATTACAGCAACTAATACTCGAGAATTGCTGGATATAATGAAATTTTAAAATAATTATGAATTATTAAATAGAGATGAAGGTCTAGTGAATGTCTGTAAGAATGTGGTGAGACCTGTTCTGATATTTTTGCACAAATGCTAAATTACAGACATGTCACATGATATTTAAGAAAATGTGAAATTTCTCTCTTGTAACTTCACTCCTGAAGATTATGTGTGACATGTCGAAACATGTAGAGTCGATATTTTGATATGATTTTAATTGTGTATTGATTTTAATGTTATATATTTATTATTTTAACTTTATACACAAGTGCTGTTATAAATATTTGTGTATAAGCTAACTATTAGACCTAATACGTTACTTTTGTGGTAATACACTTTCGTTGTATAAACAAAAGCTGAAGATGAAACAAAACTTATTGACTTTCTAATATATTTAAATGAAAAAAAGAAATCCCTAAAAACAATATATCACAGTCTTTGTACATATAATCTCTTTTTTACTTTTTACACATCTTTGCAGATTATGTACACTTCACAGCCTGTAGTATTAAGAAATGTTTCAGGACTGTCTAAGTGTCCAATTCTGATTTTGAAATGTACATTATATAATAAGCACAGTTCAAAACATGCTAATATATCTGCACAAAGTTTTTCTCCCAATATGATTTGTATTGTATGTTGTGACTGGTTCAAAAACACATTCCAACCAGAGTTTAATAATTGTGAGACTCAGCTTAGATGGTACATTATAAAGACCAGGTGAAAATATTATGTTCCTCCTAGCCAACCTGATTTTTAACATCGTTTTGCATAGTAGTGACAGAAATTACCATTTCTAAATAAGAATTAAGTAGTTTAGAACTGTTTATTAGCCTATTAGAATTACACTAAAAATGATGAACTGCAAATCGCCATAAGTTCTAGTACCTGGTTTAATGTAGTGTCAGTACATTATTAAGAAATTGAGAAATCAAGTAAATTGTGTCAGATTGAAAGAAATAGTAGAAATTACTGTAAGCTTGATTTCACAAAATGTACACTACTTATCTTTTTTTTTCTAATTAAAAAAAAAATAATAATAACATGAAAGTTTGGTAGCCCAGATAAATCTAGTGTCAATATGCAGTAATTGTTAAGGTGTGTAAAAATGTTACCACCATCATTAAAAATTACAATTGCATTGATTTACATAAACCTCACAATTAAATTTTTCACTGCTAATTTCTTTCATTAATGCAACTTCAATGATAGTCCATTACTTCTAGTTACAAACATTACTATGTGCTGTAATTATTAGCATCATTTATATTATAAACAAAGTATATGAAAAATAACATGTGTATTTAACATAAGCTAAGTATATACAACAGATCTGAAGAGGCTAGTTTAATGCCTACACAATAAGTAATTAAAAAACAGTTGTTGTTTATAGTTCTTTGTTTCTAATAAATAGAATGTTTCATGAGCATATCTATAATAAAAGAGTGTCTGTGACTACCATAGCTCCAAGAAGAAATAACCTAGAAAACTGACATTTTGCACCCATACTAAGTGGACCTTGAGGGTGTGTAACTGGGTATTATTTCTTATCTTATCCATGTGCATGCACACATGCGTATCTTTTTAATGAGGCAAGCTACTAATAAACCACATTGAAAAAAAAGTGCTTCCTTGCATTACAAAACACTAAGTGGACCCTGAGAGTGTGCAATTGGGTATTATTACTTATCTTATCCACACATGTGCGTGCATACATCTTTTTGATGAGGCAAGCTAGCAGAAAACCACATAGAAAAGAAATGTTTTTATGTTTCTAGGAAATAAAAATGTTCAAAATATTTTTGACTGTTCTTCTATGCTGGCCCAGCATGGCCAGGTGGTTAGGGTGCTCGATTCACAATCTGTGGGTCGTGGGTTCGAATCTCCGTGCCACCAAACATGCTCGCCCTTTCAGCCTTCGGGGTATTATAATGTGACGGTCAATCCCACTATTCATTGGTAAAGGAGTAGCTCAAGAGTTGGCAGTGCCTTCCCTCATGTAGCTTTGAGCAAAATTTAAAAACAAACAAACAATCTTCTATGCTAAAATAGGTTCAGAATACACACACAGCAGGTCTAGGTGTGGTTTAAAAGGTGTAAAGTTTGAGATGTGATACACGGTTGAACATGCTCTGCACTTTCAGTTTAGCTGAGATAGTCAATTCTTCTATTTAATTAAAATGAAATGTATAGACTGAATACTTCTTACAAGTAGTCTCTCTCTCTCTCTCTCTCTCTCTAGTCAGCAATTTAAAAATAGGGGTGTTATGCTTAAACCGTAAGGGTCTCGATCTAACTGTTTACCCCGAGTTTCACATGAGATATTGCTCATGTTGAAAATACCAAAACCATGTTTATTTAAATGTTCGACTTTTTAAAGAACAATCATCTAATACAAAACTAAATGAATATGTTTTACAAATTTACAACATGAACTTTATCAGCATGTTTTAACTAAATAGCAATTGTATCTTTGATAAATGAATTGCAATTGTTAATACAACATTCAAAAGTTATAACATTTATTTAATACAGTGAAAATAAAAATACTTATATTAACCAAGACACCACCTAAGACTGAATTAATGGTCAGAATGAAAAGAGGAAAATATCAGAGGCTTTAAATTTCTGATCTTACCTTCCAGCTTCAAAGGAAAATTTTTCAGGATCACTTCCATACCTCCTTAGGGCAGTTAAAGGCCATTTTACTAATTTAATTTGTGGATTAGTAATATCTGACAGGTAAATATTTTCATGTGTTACTTGCAATAAACACTCTCCAAATACATCCAATTTAGGTGTTGGCATAAGGTACACATGGAATTGTTCTACAAGAAACAAAACAATAGTCAGAGATTTACTGTATAGAAGGTATTGAATCAACCTGCACTTAGTTACAATACAGAGAAATTTGGAGATAATAATAGCATTCCTTTAACCCTTCCTAAATTATTTTAATCATTTGAAATAAACATTAAAATTAACTTTAAACAAGATCAGTTGGGGTCTTAACACACACACCTAATTTCTAATTCTGTTTACATACTTTGAGACAGTAAGCAAAATAACTGGTGTAATTTTGACGTACTTAGTTGAGTAGTTGATTTGATTTTCGATGTGACTGGGTATGAGAAACATAAAAATAGCAGTAAGCTATATAAAGTTGCATTATTTTCAACATTTATATTGTTACGTCTCCGTTTGTTAATTGATTTTCCGTAACTTCGTTCCGACGAAACTTAAGCGACACAAGTTCTTTACTTAATAAAACTGGTTTATTTTTTCCGAATACAACTTTACCGAT